AATTACTATGTAGCTGGTATCCTGAAGTTAAGTGACAGCTGAAATGTGTCATATAGTTATCATCTTAAAAATGAATTAACATCCCATCCATTAATTTACATATTTATATGTGTCCGCTATAATTGAGATACTGCTATTGTCCCGAACACTTGCACAAAATAGGTTTTAAAGATAATTTCCATGTCATACAAAGAAAGTATCTTTTTTTTAGCTGTTGTTGTTAGTTTAGTAGTTTAGGTCATTTTAACAAACTGAAAAAACCAAGCCAAAATATCTCCTTTGATGCTCTCTACTTTCTGGTAAGCTTTGCAAAAAAAGATGATATTGTAAACCTGGAGTTTTCTTCACTCCATGGGGCTCTAGATGACATTTGAATCCTTTCAAAGGACAAAAGTGTGTTACCATTGAAAATTTGTGAAGAAGAACTTTATGTTTAGAAAATATTCCCCTAAGAGGGATCCCAATATTGAGGCAAGAAGCAGCATGAGTCTAAATGTCAAATGCCTCTAAGAGATTGCCATAAGGAGCTGGCTCAATGCTGGCTTTAAAATCAGTCTCCTTACTTAAATATCATCCCTTTAAGGGGAGAGCATGACCTACTTTGGACAAGCTCTCAGTGAAGCAGAATTTAGTATTTACCTGCACTACTGCCTTTCTTTAAACACTGAACAATAATAATTTTCTTAAACATTCCTGTTAGGCATGGGAACAGGGATTAGATGAAAAGGATTTGGATCTTAAACCAGCTCAAATTGTATTCTGAAGGCAGGTTTAATCTCTCTAAAGCACTCTAAGCTTCAATTTTTATTTCCAAAACATTGTATTATGAAAAATTTCAGAAGGCAAAGGAAAAAACCTTTTTATAGTGAACACTTTACTCTCATCTTCTGAACTTTACCTTTAACACTTGAATATATATATATATATATATATATATATATATATATATATATAATTTTTGGGGGGGTCATACCCAGCGATGCTCAGGGGTTGCTTCTGGCTCTGCAGTCAGGAACTAACCCTGACGGTGCTCAGGAGACCATATGGAATGCTGGGAATCGAACCCGGGTCGGCGGCATGCAAGGCAAACACCTTAACCGCTGTGCTATTGCTCCAGACCCTTGAATATATAGTTTTTAAGCATACAACTATTTGTTTATCCATCCCTACTTCTGTTTATTAATGCATGCTAATTTTTGGTACACTTCAATAAATTTGCAGGATTACTTTAGCAAATATGCATTTGATTAAATAGAATGAAATGCATTGTATAACTGAAACCCGACCATGAACAGCTTTGCAGCTTTGTATCTCACAGTGATTCAATAAATATAAATAAATAAATGGGGTTCAATGCTAATTTTTTGCTATAAAGTGCATATATATTAAAATGCATAAATCTTCATTTTGGCTTAGTCACTGTCCTCCCGTTGTTCATCGATTTTCTCGAGCGGGCCCAGTAACGTCTCCATTGTGAGACTTTGTTGTTACTGTGTTTGGCATATTGAATGTGTCACGGGGAGCTTGCCAGGCTTTGCCGTGGGGGGTGAGATACTCTCGGTAGCTTGCCGGGCTCTCCAAGAGGGGCGGAGGAATCGAACTTGGGTCGGCCATGTTGGCTGCAAGCAAGACAAACGCCCTACCTGCTGTGCTATCGGAACGACATGGCCGACTCGAGTTTGGCTTAGTGTTGGCAATAAATCACCTATGTAGCCCCCACTACCTATTAGGAAAGTTCCTGGTAACACCTCCTCTAAAGTTTCGTATAATTTTGTTGTAATATGGAGTTCAGAGTACTCATTCTAAAGAGTTATGAGGACGACATAAAAGCAGTTGTATAGTGTTTCACTGTCTCATTACACACACACACACATACACACACATACAGACACACATACACACACACATACGACGCTTTCATTTTCTGCTTTTCTCATTGGACACCAAGCTTGGTTCCACAGCTATTGTGGCTAAATGCTGCAATGAATAACTGTGAATATGATGCCCTTTTGAATGAATATTTTTGCCTCCTGGGGGTAGATACTAAGAAGTGGAATTGTTGCATTGTATGGCAGCTCTATTCTTACTTTTCTTAGAACTTTCCATAGTTTTCCATAGGTGTTGAAACAGACAACATTCCCACCAGGTGTCACCAAAAAACCCCTCTAAAAATAAATAAACAAAATAAAGAGCTTCTGCTTGGCAAAAGAAGCACAGATTAAAACTAAAAGACACTGAATGAAATGGGATAAAATATTTGTACTCAACATGTTAGATAAAAGGTAACATTTTATACATATTACATATATATATATAAAGTTCTCACAAAGATTAACAAAAAAATCCAAACCCTTATTAAAAAAACTGGTGAGAGGAAAGGAACACATATTTTTCTGAAGAAGATAGATAAATGGCCAATAAACACAAGTAAAAATGTTCATTACCACTAATTATTAGGGAAATCTCAATCAGAAAACAGTGATATATTATCTCATTTCAGTAAGAATGGCACAGGTGAAAAAAAAACTCTGGGAAAAATCTATATTGGAGAGGATGTGATAAAAAAGAAATTACTATTATACTACAAAACTGTAATAATAAAAATAGAGTGTACTGGAAAAAGAGGCACTTAGATCAGTGGGATGAAATTGAGAGATAAACTTTCATCTATCTGGTCAGGGCCAGCCACCACCATGCTGAGACCACTCTCCGCACACCTGAAGGTACTGGCAGAGGGACAAATCCACGTGGGTTCCGGGGCCGAGATCTCCCAGCCTACTCAGATTGGAGTCGAGCATCCTCCACCCAGATCCTCCAAATTCCAGTAGGCGGGGGTCACACCCACCACCTGGCCCCCTGGCGCCGTGTAATTCCATCAACAGCCAAGACTCAGAGACTATAAAATCCAGGTCCCGGAACTGCGCAGCCGCATTCACGGCTGCGCGACATCTTATCAGGACATCTTTTATGACATCTTATCATCTCATTCCTACTTTGGACAAACTTGCAGGCTATCGAATGTAGCCTGCCCACAGGGCAGAGTCTGGCAAACTCCCTGTGGCGTACCAAATATGCCAAATACCAGTAACAATGATGGGTCTCATTCTCCTAAAGAGCCTTGAATATAATCTCAGGGTTAGGATGAAAGAGACGTTACTGGGGCCTGCTCGAGGCAATCGACGAATAACAGGATGATGAAATGAAAAAAATCTGGTCAGTTAATTTATGATTATGTGCAGCAAGAAAGCATCTTGAGGCTGGAATGATAACACAGCCTGTAGGGACTTTGCCTTGTGTGCGGCTGACACGGGTTTGATACCCAGCATCCCATATGGTCCCCTGAGCACCGCCAGGAGTAATTCCTGAGTGCAGATCAAGGAGTAACCCCTGTGCATCACTGGGTGCCACCTAAAAAAGAAGAAAAAAAAAGTCAGGATAGGAGAGGAATTTCTGTACTTTGACTTCTGGAAATCACAGCCATCCTAGCAAATGCAGTTTTACCCTAGTGATCAGACATGCTAGATTGGAATGGCTTAAGAGGGAAATAGCACTAGAAATTGCATAAGAATGTGTGACCAAACATGATAACTTCTTAGTATCTGCATTGCAAAGCATAATGCCCCCAAATAGAGAGAGTATGGGGAATATTGTCTGCCATAGAGGCAGGGGGAGGGTGAGAAGGGGTGGGTATACAGGGGATATTGTTGGTGGGGAATGTGCACTGGTGAAGGGATGAGTGTTTGATCATTGTGTGATTGTAACCCTAACATGAAAGCTTGTAACTAACATGAAAGCTTGTAATCTCATGGTGTTTCAATAAAATTTTTTTTAAAAAAGTGTGACTTTTTGGGGCTGGAGGGTTAGCACAGTGGTGAGGGCGTTTGCCTTGCATGCGGTAGACCCGGGTTTGATTCCCACCATCCCATATGGTCCCCCGAGCACTGCCAGGGTGATTTCTGAGTGCATGAGCCAGGAGTAACCCATGTGCATTTCCGGGTGTGACCCCAAAAGAAAAAAAAAGAATGTGTGCCTTTTCTTTGCAGCTATTTGCATTTCTCCACTTTAAAAGGAAAACTACATTATCATCTTTCCATGTTCCCTCTCTGATATCGACACATGAGATTTCCTTAAAAGTAATTCAGCTTGCTGCTCTTTTTTTTCTGATAAAATGGAGGTTTTCGCCTGGATGATGTAAAGAGCTTCAGGTGTTGTCCCCTCCAAAGGAATGTCTTTACAGTCTCCTCAGAAGGAGAATAAATGTTAGCTGTGAGCAATCAACACGCTATTATTTCTTCACACTTTTCTATTCTAAGCTTAATTCTTTCTCCTCTTTCTTGAAATTTCATATTCTTTATTTCCATTTAGACTAGACTATCATTTTTTTTCTTAGAAGGGAAAAACATCATCAATTAGACTATCAGATTTCTTAGACTAACAATGTGATAAAGCTCTCATATCTTTTGTTGACCCTGATTTATCTCAAATTAGCACCTTCTTTTCTTCTTCCCTTTACAACGAACAACTCAGAAGGAAAAAAAAATGTATGAATTACTTATACCTTCCATATCAATCTCCATCATCAATCTGATGTTGTAGGTTTTTTTTCCATTACCGATGGAAATTTTCTTCTCAAATGTAATGACAACATAGGTGCAGTATGCAATAGCGTTCATTACCTCAGTTCTCTTCTTTACCTTATCTAGAGAAATATGTTATTTTTTTCTTTTAACTAAGAGTCGACAACTTTATTTCCATGTTTCACAATACAAATGAAAATTGTAGGTTTTTTGTTTCATTTACTACCCCCTCTAAAACTATCCTCTCTCTGATGGGAAGGGGGGGCAAGTCTCCCTCTAATACCGCTGGAGAATATCCAGAGTCACAGCACCATGATCTCCTAGTGAAGAAGAACAAGTGACAGGAAGTGGAGAGAGAGAGAGAGAGAGAGAGAGAGAGAGAGAGAGAGGAGAGAGAGAGAGAGAGATCGGCTCCCACTCTCCTTATCTGTCTGGTCGGGTCATTCCAGGCCGAGTGGGCGCCATCATGGGACGGGTAGGGGGTCCCACCATTGGAGGCCTAGGCATCATTGACATATGGCCTCCCATTGGCGGCCTCATTTCAGGAGCAGGTCCCACTGGCATCATCCCAGGAGGAGGGGGGCCCATCATTGGCATCATGGGAGGGCCCCCCATATGGGGTGCTGGCATCATCCCAGGGCGAGGAGGACCAGGGAGACTGGGCGGAGGTGGGATCATTGCCCCTGCCGGAGGAGGAGCAGAGAATGTTGTCGGAAGAATCTTGCCTTGTTGAAATGCAGCAGTTGTCTTGTCGATCAGGCTCTGGGTCTGCTCCTCTATCCATTTTTGATAGTAGTCCTTCACATTCTCTTTGTGTTTCCTGCCACTGCAGTGAGTCTTTCTCACAGATGGAGAGTCATGGGTGAGGTACGTGTCGCAGTAGTCACAGTAAAACTTGGGCATGATGCTCTGCAAGCCGTTGAACACTCGTGCCCCGCTCACCGGAAGTGACCTAGAGAAATATGTTATTAACTTTGTTCTTCTACTTCAAAATTTCTCCACCATATGGGATGTCAGGGGTGCAACTCAGTTTGTCCCTACCCGCTATGCTATATCTTTAGTCCCAGGAACCTCTGTTTTTTGAATGGTTTACTACCTCTCTGGTCATACTATCCCCTTACAGACTATTCCACCCACTTGCATAAATGAATTTTGCGGGTGCTATGCTCAGTGTCTCTTACGTGTTCTGTTTGCTCAACCTTGTTTCATCATCTGATGCTAAGTTTTCAAGATATCCCCTCACTTGGCTCTTCTAACCTGAGATTCTTAAGGCGCTTTCCATGTCTTCCCTGTAATTCTAAGCCTAAATCTCTCTCTCTCTCTCTCTCTCTCTCTCTCTCTCTCTCTCTCTCTCTCTCTCTCTCCCTCATGATTCTGATTTGTTTGGTTTGATTTTGGTTTCTTTGGACCACACCCAGAGATGCTCAGTGATACTTCTGACTCTGTGTTCAGGGATTACTCCTGGTGATGTTCTCAGGACCATTGTGCAGTGTCAGGGATCCAATTGAGAAGTGCTGCAAGCAAGGCAAATGTCATAAGCTCCATCCTATCTTTCTGGATAGTATTCCAATTTCAAGACCAGATAATGATTAGATTTAGTTTCTATCTGTGTTTAACTAGTCCAGTATTTCTAAGGTACGTGCATCATATACAAACCAATTCCCAGTATGATTGTCCCTATTTTCATCAAGATCCCTGATTCCTTTATTCTCCCTTTCTGGTTATTTTATCTCTTCCATTTTTTCTCAGTCACTTGTCTGGAATTGGTAACTGCTTCTTAACGTTTTCATTGTTTTTTCCTGTTGGGTACTTTCTGGTCTATTTTTGCTCTTCCAGTATTTCTAAATCAGTACAATCAATTTTATGAATTAAAATCCTTCTGTTATTTTGACTAAACTCTGATAATATCCTCATTCAGGAATAGTATATTACTTGGACCAGAGGTGTTCTCTAATATCATCTGTCTGAAATATCTAATTGGTCCTTGGTTACCTTCCCTTTGTTGTTTTTCATGCAGGTGGAATGATTTATGCCATTCTTGGTCGTGCTCAGGGTTGCTCCATGCTCTGTGCCCAGGGATTACTTCTGGCAATGCTCTAGTGACCATGCAGTGCTGGGAATCAAACTGGAGTCTTCCTCAGGAAAGATAAGCCCTTGACCCCTATATTAAGTCTCCAGCTCACTCACTCTCTGAAAATAGGGAGCAGGGACATTTCTCCTACATAGAAGAAACTGGCCGGTATCTAGTTTCAACTTAAAGAGTTTCATCCTAAAGAAACAGAACTGTTTGCTATTCACCTGACTTTGAAGATTATTCTTTTTCTTCTATAACTTTATTCACATATTTGGTCTATTTGACTTAATATTTTTTCTGTGTATACTGACTACGGGCCAGTGTACACAGTTAAGAACTTTAACTTAATGACTTAAGTAATGACTAATTCTTCTCTAAGTTACAGATATTTTGCATTTCCCACTATTAATGTACACTTGTGTTTTAAAATATCCGTACAGTAGGATGTATACATTGGAAATATTGGGTACTATTTGGGCAGATCAAAACTAAATCATGATCTGATGCATGTAACTGGTGATCCTGGCAGGATAAAGTGTCTTTGAGATCTGTGGAGGGGAAAACAAACAAATAAAGAAACAACAAAGCAACAGCAGACTAGAAGCCTTTTAAACAGAAAAACACTTTGAAGGTAAGAATTTGAGAATGTCCTCTGAAGTAAGTGGAGGAGAAGGCTACAAAGTCTTGGAGCCAGCAGCCTTCCCAGAGACTGAGAAATAAAAGCAACCACCTCAGCAAGTACCATGGGGAATCTGGAGGTGGAGGGGGGGTTGGGGGGGGTGCACACATTGCCAGCCCAAGCTGAGACTTTTGCCTCGGTTCAGAATAGTTAAAAGACTATACTAATGTCTAACCATGGAGACACTCACCTATGGAAGTTTATGTGAAATATAGGGAAAGTAAACAGATGAATGAAATAATATAAAAATGAATATTTTGACTCTAAGACCAAGACCAATTAGCACTACCAGAAAAGGAGGAGAAGGTTGAGTTAAGTGCTACGAAGGGGACAAACATAAGTGTACGTTCAAGGGCATATTAGACTTTCAGTGGCAAACTTAATGCAGTATAAACACACAGATTTTTAATGATGCATACCGAAGCTTACATAATGGTATAATATCATTTTCTCTTAATTAAAAAATTGATGGTTCTATTTTTAATTTTTTGGGAAATATCAATTATGTTTTCCACTGAGGTTGAGCTAGTTTACAGTCCCATCAACAGTGAATTCAAGTTACTTTTTTTCTCTACTCTCTGCCAGCACTGGCTCTTTCTGCCCTTCTATATAGGGCATTTTCACAGGTGTGCAGTGATATCTCATTACAACAACTTTATTTTTATCTTCATCTATAGTTGAGAAAATAGGGGCAATGAAAGTAAGCAATATGCTCAACTAGCAACCTTGAAATCCATTGAAAGAAGTTCTGTAAAGATTCTAAATTAGGGGGCTGGGGCGATAGCACAGTGGGTAGGGCATTTGCCTTGCATGCAGCCAACCTGGGTTTGATTCCCATTATCCCATATAGTCCCTAAGCACTGCCAGGAGTAATTCCTGAGTGCATGAGCCAGGAGTAACCCCTGTGCATCACTTGGTGTGACCCCCAAAAGCAAAAAAGTAAATAAATAAAATAAAAATACAAAAAAAAGAAAGAGATTCTATCACTTTATAAGTACTTCCACTTAACCAATCTGTACAGAGCTATGGCCAGAGCCTCTTGCTGTATTCTGGCGGTGTGACATATCCTGTTACTGCTTAACGATGTGACACCCTGGAAAATGACTCGACTATATCATGCTTACACAAGCTGTCTTGTCGTCCTTAATACCTTCAATTTTCTAAAAAAAAAAATGCCTTGAGTTACTACTTAAAGGTAAAGGTAAAGGCCCTCCCGTTGATCGTCGATTTGCTCGAGCGGGCCCAGTAACGTCTCCATTGGAGACTTTGTTGTTACTATGTCTGGCATATCGAATACTCTCGGTAGCTTGCCGGGCTCTCCGAGAGGGGCGGAGGAATCGAACTCGGGTCGGCCATGTTGGCCGCTTGTAAGGCGAACGCCCTACCCGCTGTGCTATCGCTCCAGCCCGAGTTACTACTTATTTTTAATTAATTAATTTATTTATTTTTGCTTACACCCGGCGATGCACAGGGGTTACTCCTGGCTCTGCGGCTCTGCACTCAGGAATTAATACTGGTGGTGTTCAGGGGATCATATGGAGTGCTGGGATTCTAACCCGGGTCACCCAGTTGGCCGCATACAAGGCAAAACACCCTACCCACTGTACTATCGCACCAGCACCCCCCACTTCCCGCAAGTGACTACTTTATTATTATTATTTTTCTGCTCTTTTGGGTCACACCCAGCGATGCTCAAGGTTTACTTGTGACTCTGCACTCAGGAGTTACTCCTGGCAGTGGTTGGGGACCATGTAGGATGCTGGGAACCGAACCTGGGTCAGCTGCATGCAAGGGAAATGCCCTACCTTCTGTGCTATTGCTCTAGCTCCCTGAATGACTACTTTATATGGATGTAGTGATGATTTATCTCTCTTAGTAGAATTTTCCAATTGCTGAAAATATCTTGTTTTTCTGAGAGTGGATCTTATGTCTCAGTGTAATCACCAATGCATATTGTAAACCTTGATGAATTCATTTTTCACTTTAAATTTATACTGTGCACATAGCAAATGCTATGTCAGATTATATAATCCAAATGGGTTGGAAAGATAGTACAGTGGGTTAGGTACTTGCTTTGGTCGCAATTGACCTAGGTTTTATATGATTCTTTAAGCACTACCAAGAATAATCCTTGAACATGACCAGGTATGGCACACACATACGCACGAAGAGTATACCATCTTAAGAGTATACCATCTTCTATCTGCAGCTGAATTCATGCCAATTATTTCACACTTAAAAAATTTTCTCAAATTTCTAATCACTTCACCCTATCCAAACTCTCAGTGCAAGACTAGCTTAATATTTAATTACTAGCTTCTTAAACTAAGTCTCTACAATTTTAGTAGAAGTAAAATTTTCTATATGTATGTTGGAGATATGACATAATTGAGGGCAGTACAAATATATGAATGTGGCTTAACCCAAATTTAATGCAAAATAAACTGTGTAATGAATCATATGTTTTTGGACATACTTGCTTTATAAGTCCTTCTTGATTGCTTTAATTCTAACAATTAAATGAGAAAATCTCCAACATATTTCTCTCACCACTCACTTTTACCTTCAAACTGCAAATAGGCCAGCTGCACTATCTCTGTGGACCTACAAGATCTCTTTTTTAAAACATTAGTTTACTTTTATCCGTTCTAGGCATTAGTATGCAGATATCTTTTCGAAGGCATATGTATGTATGTCCCTAAATATTGACTCAGGGAGATAGGTTAAATATAGAAATATTATCCAGTATGCTAGAGTAAGAACATCCTTCCTACTTAACTCAAATAGTTTTGTGGATTCTCAGCACAGATGTCTTCACCTGAGATGACATTCTCTGGGATTCTCAAAGCTCTTGTTTTATTTCATCTTGTTTATATTTTCAAAGCTTATTTATTTATTTTTGCTTTCAGGCTATACCTCAAAATGAACTCAAGAGTTAGTCCCTGCCTGGTGTACAGGAGTTACTCCAAACACTGCCAGGATTGAATTTGGGCATCCTGCAGGCAAAGCTTGCCCCAAGCCCATTGAGCTATTTCTCTGCCTCTTGTATTGTCTAATTTTTCTGAAATAAATATTTTCTACTTGAATAAGACTTACTATCTAATCAGTATTGGTGTTTCTTCCCTTCTGCTGTACTATATTGACTAGGATAATTCCTGGCATATTAAAAGTGCTCAGTGAATGTTGGTTGATT